ATTATCACACTACAAGAACATGTATGACACTTCCCTTAAAAGGAAATTGGAGGGTTAACAGAGAGGGAAATGAGTCTACTTTTCTATCCATTCTCACAAAAATCTGTCTCTCTAGAACAAGAAGGGTTCATGATAACAGGTAAAGTTATTAGGTGCATTTTTCAATTTTCTCCCTCTTCACACTGATTAAAATGTTGCTTGGAAATTGACAGTATGATTCAGTAGTATGATTCAAATATGAAGTCTGGGAATTACACTGTTTTTAAAATTAGTCCCATCAGAATTAAACAGTATTGTTAACTTTACTCGTGCTATGAAATTTAAATCTAGACACCACCTTATCTTCCAATATTAAAAACCCATTTCATGATTTAAATGGAGACTGATACTGTAAACCTCATTGAGAAAGAACTCTTCTTTGGTCTCCCCACGCCTGCCTTATTGTCCATAGCTTTCAAACCAGGAACAACCCCTGCTGTTACCAGAAATATACTTCGATTTTGCTGTGAATTCTATTTTCTACAGCTGCCAAACAAATAGTAAATAAAATTCATGGTATTTTTGCCCCAGTAAGCAGCTCTGTCTTCCAGCACATCCCAGACACCTGGCTTCAAAGAAATGAACAATAAAAATATGTTTTCCTGAGCAGATATTCCAAAAAGAGTATAACAAAGGCATTTGGAGATGATGCTGGAGAAAGAAACCATGCTAATAATTGCATGCATTTTGTGTAAGTAATCCCTTGAGCAGGCACACAGATTCATTGGATTACAAATATTCAGAAAATCAGTTTGCTATGTCACATCATTTTTGGAAGGGTTTTCTATTATTTATATATTATATATCATTATATATTTATATTATATCATTATATTTATGACAAATTGAACTTTAAACTGAAGCCAGGACTTAAGATGTTTTAAAATTTATTAACTTGCAAGTCCACATACAGGGCCAATTAATGTCTATCATCACCAAGGATGAACAAGTTTGAGATACAAATGTAAAAGGTTATTTAAACCTCGGTTGCTTACCTCAAATTCATCACATCACAAGTGGTATAAAATATTTAAAGAGTGGAGTATTTCTTGAGAAAAGCTACAAATTTTCAGAATGAAATGGCAACATCCTGCACTCAAAGTGAGCAAAAAAAATTTCACTTTTGATGTAATCCTTTGCTTCTTTTGCAAAAGCTAAATTCAATAGCAAATCAATTTCAAATATCAAAATGGGCTTGGGTGAATGGAAAGCAAAACAGAAAACTGCAATTTAGCTAAAACTTAAATGGCAAAAAACTGAAACGTAGGCCAAACTGCCAGACTTTGCAAGGAAAATATAGACCTTGAATTTTAAAGAGAATTCAATTAGCATCACCAGTGTTTTCCATAATCAACAGCTGAATGATAATTAAAGAGGCCAAACTCACACAGCAGCAGAGGAATCCCAGGGCAGCAGCAAGCAGCCCAACAGCCAGGAAGGCTGCCTTCAAGCTTACATGCATAAACAAACAGAATGAATAACTACCCAAGTGTGGATGGGTGACTTAATCTTTTTCGATTAGCTGCAGCTCAGCCTGGGCCCTCTGTGTTATTTAAATGTGCTCATCATATTTAATTAAAAACCTAATAAACTAAGGACTTAAAAAAAACCTTCTGATCTAAATTATTCTCTCTTCCTCATTCCTAACATTAACATGGGTGAATGATAACATAGCACTTTAATTTTAAACAAACAAACAAACAAATAAATAAATAGATGGATGAATGAATGAATGAATGAATGAGTGAATGAATGAATGAATGAATGAATAGATACAAGTATGTATTGGTTAAAGACATGTGCTTGCTATGCACAGCTTCTACAATCTGATCTAATTTCTATTAATCTGATTCAGAAGACAGTGAGGCAGCCTGGAAAGCTAGTTTTCAAGTTGCTGTAGATAACTTTTATCTATAAGAACACTCAGGCATCACCTTCTGTTTGATGGAAACCTATACAAACTTGACTAGGATTCAGCAAAGCTTATAAAATCTCAGTCTCAGGGCAACTTTTATAAGAAACTTCATACATACACACACACACACACACACACACACACACACACAATGTTAAGAACTACTGAACTGAAAAAAATTAGGTTATTTGAGACCTTCTAACTTAAGAATTACTACTATCCAATGAATGGACTTAGAAGGAAAGACGGAAGTTTGGAGCAAAACTGATGCTTTTGCCACAAACTCAATGCTGCATTTAACAAATGTGTTCCTCTGACACCTATTTTATAGAACTGCAATGTACATACAGAAATAGTATTTTGTATCCTTAGGATCTGTTCTTGCTTACAATCAACTCCTGCCAACTCCCTCAATTCCCAAATAATACCCACTAAGGAGAAAGCTTAATAAATGAAACAACAAAGATAATCTATTACATTCTGGACAGTGTGTTACATATTACAAGATATAAAAGTCACAGGCAAGTCACAGTCCCTGACCTAAACAGTTTCAATCTTACTGAGAAGATAAGACAAATACATGTAATGTAACTAGAGTAAATAGCAGAATTCAATAAAACAATACCAAAAATATCATGAGTTATTTTGGAGCTGTCAAATGGACAGCGAAGACACCGCTATAGGAACAAATGAAGAAGAGCTCATATGGTCATTTGAGTTGGCCTGAGAAGATTTATGAAGAATGAAGAGTATGCACTGGGTCTTGAAGGATAAGTAGGATGGGAGTAAAGGCAGGATAAAATCTAAGAGGAGGAGGAAGAACATTACATCAGTAGAGACCAATCTGTCAGAATTATATCTGATTCCTCCTTAACTCTACTTGCAGAGTTGCAGAGATTTATGCAGTCAGGTAGAACAACCAGAATGTCATAAGTATGCAAGACACTAGGAGAAAAAAAAAGGAAGGTAGATACTAATTTCTCTATGAAATTAATCATAATTAAGACCCATTTCTTCTCTGATTCCTGTGGTTCACATAAGTAGATAAAGAAGATTTTTTTCTTCCCCTAGGCTGAGCCTAGTTGTAGGAGACTCTCTTGTTATCTACTTAAAGGCTCAAGGTCAGACTACATTCATGGTCGTGTATGCCAGCCTATACATCACATATACTTACTGTCATTCACACTCAATTCTCTCTCTCTCTTCTCTCTCTCTCTCTCTCTCTCTCTCTCTCTCACTCACACACACACACACACACACACACACACACACACACACACACACACCTGGGAATGGTTTGATCTCTGGCTCATTAATGGTTAGATGACTGACAAAACATTTTTCAAAAGCTGGCTGCAATAGAACAAGAAGCAAATGTGATAAAATGAGACCAAAGTGACAATGATTTATGGAGTTAATGATCATCATTCCGTACTCAGGGTGTTCATTTTTTGGAACAATGTTTTATTTTTCAATTAACCTTGTGAGTGTGTTTTGTAAGGCTCCACTTCTCATCATTTAATTCTGACTGCAATGGTAGTGCTGTCAACATGCTGCCACCACAGAGGCAAGAGCTAAGTGTTATATATACCAGATGTTCTAGGGCAAAAAGGGTATTTATATATCTGAGGGTAGGGAATTTAGGGAAGAGGGTAAAAGCTGGAAGGCAACATCAAGGTAGAAGAGACGGGGCCGAGGTAAGAGGCATTTGCAATTGTACAAAGAGGCCAAATAAGAAACTAGTGTGTCTTTTATGTTTCAGGACAGGATAAGCAAAAGAAGATTCACTTGAGTAATAACCCTAGGGATCTCTACAAGGATTTCTACATTCAGAGCTCTTGACTTTCCTTCTACTGTCCTAGTAAAAGTCAAAGATTCTCTTTTATTTCACAATAGCTTCTTCAGACACCCCTTATTTCGAAAAGAGTAACCTGGTTTAATCTAAACGGATGTACCTAAACTCTTATCTACTTCAATCAAAAATATGAAGAATGAGGACTCACATAACTATGACAATAACAACAAAAGAAGCTTCAGTGTTTTCAACCTGAACTGTGGTATGAATAATTTTTCGGTGATGCAAAAAGAAACTTTTCATATTTTAATTAATCAAGGATTTGGGAATTGGCTATTTTTTTTAAACTACTAATTTCATCACAAGTCTGACAAACTAGGAATTCACACTGAATTGGCTACCTCAGTTTTAAAGACTTCCAATGCCAAAGGCACAAGGCTTCTTTCAAATTTCTTCAGTCACTATACTAATATATGTTCACTTCTGGGACTAGTGAAATACACAATGAAATGCTGAATTGTTTTGTTTCTCAGCATGCTCCAGAAGAGAGGTGTTTGAGTCAGCCTAGAGAGGACAAGGACCAATAAGTGATGTCCCTACATCTGTAACTGCAAAAACACAACGCATCCAGAACTCTTTAACAGTAACACCCTAATGTCACAATAGCTCAGGTCTGCACAACTTGCAGTCTGCAGGTCACTTACAGCAAACCAAAGGATTTCTCACCACACCGCGAAAAATGTAGTGGAAAACATCCACTGTATGTGGAGGAAATCTTTTGGCATCCTGCAGGCAGGTAAACGGCCCGCTGGCTGCAAGTTGTGCAGGCCTGTAACAGCTGATGAAAGTCTTACTTTTTTAAATCTCTGCCTGTGTGACCATATGTCTATGTGTGCCTGTGTATCTCTGTGCAGCTATGTCTCTTCTCTGCTCACAAATCATTTCTTCATCTTAGTCTCCATCATAACTCTAACATATGTAATATTCAAATATTCAAATTTTATATTCCCAGTTTTTAATATTTCACCCCTTTTAGCAAAGCAGCTAACCAGAAGGAGGCACAGCCTTAAATGAGAAAAGGACCACTTACAGAGGGAGCTATCAATCCCCTGGAGCAGGAGGGAGGAACCTGCAGCCTGGAGGCCTCACGTGGCCCTCTAGGTCCTCAAGTGAGGCCCTTTGACTGAATCCAAACTTCACAGAACAAATTCCCCTGCCCTGAAGCTTCTGGTGAGTCTTCACATTACTTACCACCTCATCTTCAGTCCAACACTTCTCAATCAGTTTGGGCACAGGCTTCTTTACCAGGCGCTGGAGGGCTTTTCCGGCATCATAGTTGCTTTCATGTAGCTAAAAAAATAATAAAAGTTTCAGTCAGCAAATTATTTGTAAACTAACAAACTACAGATAAATCAATAGAGGAATGCTGCCTGCATTTGCTGTATCAGATAGAATAAATTAATGGACAACAGTGGAGGTTCATCTTTATAAATTTCACATTTCAATTTGCCCTCATCACTTTTACCTGCATAAACTGTACCTTTCCTTGGTGAAGTAGAAGGGTAAGGGAAATGGTTAAGAATCATACTCCAAAGTACCCCAAAGCCAAAATAAAATGTACAATTTTATAAGATACTAGGTTTGCAGATAAAAGGATCTCAATATTTTTTAAAAAATTTTTTTTGGCTAGGCAATGGGGTTAAGTGACTTACCCAGGGTCACACAGCTAGTAAGAGTTATGTGTCTGAGGCCAGATTTGAACTCAGGTTCTCTTGAATCCAGGGCCGGTGCTCTATCTACTGCGCCATCTAGCTGCCCCCAGATAAAAGGATCTTTAGAAAAATATCATACTTCAATTACAGATGAGGAAACTGAGGCCCAGAAAGGGGATGTGAGCTGCCCAAGGCCACACAGGTGGCAGAGCCAGTAACAGAGCCAAGAAGGGAACCCAAACATTTAATGCAAAATACCACATGCAGCCTGTCCATTATATCATGTGCCCTTTTAAATCAGAACACCAAATGCATTTTCTCCCTCCAGGCTTCATTCTGTCATGGAGGTTATGCCATGGTGGTGGAAGACGTGGCCATATCAAGCCACACTGGAAAGATTTCAAACACGGAGATGGCAAAAGACAAGATGTCTGTTGTTTTGACTACCCACAATGCTTTGTGAAGCTCAAGTGGAGAGTGTTAAGGTATATATTTTTATAGCAACATTAAGTTCTTCCAACCTTCCCTATTACTGGAACACTATCTTCTTCTCAGTTAACAGGGCCCTCAACTTTGGGATCATCTTTGACTGTTCATTTTCTCTACACATGTCAAAATCATTGCCCCACCTTGCTCTTTCTACCTTCACAACATATGCCCTCTTTTCTCCAATCCTCTCCACTATCATCCCTCCTCACTGTTGAATCTTTAACGTATGCTTATCTATTGGCTCTTTCCTTGCTGCCTACAAATATGATCACACTTTCCTCACTGTTTAAAAAACAAAACAAAAAACCCTCTCACTATTACATTATCTGCTAGCAATCATCTTCTACCTCTCAATTTCCTTTTTAAGTTAAATTCCTTGAGAAAAGTGTTTACATTTTGCTTCCTACCTTTCTTCCCTTCTCATTGATTTAAACATTTCAAAATCTAGCTTCTTGACCTCATCATTGAACTGAAACTGCTCTCTCCAAAATCACCAATGATTTCTTAATTGCCAAATACAATGGTCTTTTCTCAATCTTCATCCATCTTGACTTTTCTGTAGCTTCCAACAGTTTTTCGGTGTTCTGGTACTTCTGAACACTCTCTTCAGGTTTAGTGGCATTGCCTTCTCCTGTTTCTTCTTCTACTTATTTAAACACTCCTCAAGTCTCCTTTGCTAGATCTCCCTCCAGTTTACATCGTACTTATCTTCCAAGGTTCTGTTCTGGGATTGTTTGTCTTCTTCTTCTATACTATCTTGCTTGATCTCATCAACTTCCGTGGGTTCAATGATCACCTACAGGCAAAAAACTCCCACATGTATATATTCAGCCCTAACCTCACTTTCCTGACTGTAGCCAAGTATTACCAACTTCTTCTTGGACATCTTGAGCTAGATGGAGGAATTTAAAATTCAGTATATTCAAAACAAACTCATTACCTTTTCCCTCTGAAATTCTCCCCTCTTCCCAACTTCCCTATTATTGTTAAAGGCAGCAACACCGTCTCCATTACCCAGGCTCATCCCCTAGCATTTCATCCTCAACAACGTTCAAATTCATTCCATACATTCAATTTATGGTCAAGTTTTGTTCTTCATTTATGTCCCTTTCTCTCCACTCACACAGCCGCCCCGTACCCCAACCCATTCTTTACTCAGCAGCCCAAGTGATTTACCAAAGTGCAAGTGTGTCCTTGTCACAGCTCTATGTCCTACACACACACACACACACACACACAGAGTCTCTAATGACTCCATATTATGTGCGAGGTTAAATATGAAATTCCCTATTGGGCATTTGAAGCTCTTCCCAATTTAGCCTCTTGCTAACTTTCCTTATACTTCACTCTAAAAGGTACTCTGTGGACCCAGTAACACTAACCTTCTTGCTGTTTCTCAAATAAAACACTTCATCTGTCAACTTCATTTTTTTTACTAGCTGCCTCTCTTGCAGCTAGCTCTTTGAGGGCTGGTCCGTGTTGTGGTCTGGCACTTTTCTAGGTTCATATTCTCCATTAATTTTCTAGGTTCACTTCCCAGATATGGAAAAGAAACTATGGGAAATGATAATTAGTGTTTTCTCTTCACAGTCAAACTGAGCTCAGAAAAATGAGACTAAATATGTCCTAAAAGTAGGGCATACAGACTATTCCTATTTGGAAATGACACTGAAAAAGCAACTTTACAAAAAGGAAGGCCTAAGCCATGTATCTCTCTACTCCATCAGCCTCTAATCTCTGCAAGCAGCTGGTAAGAGATATATTAAGGTATGGCACCATCAATCCTCCCTTGCCTGGCTGTAAATCAAGAAAATACATTGCCTATATTACATCACCCAGGAGAAACTATTGCTTCTAAATGCATCACCATAGGTAAAGTTTGTAGTGTTTAAGAGGCTATCTGCTTATCCATTTACTTCTCTTGTTCCCCACCTTCATCAGCTTTGTGACTATACTTCTATACCGGCGGATGCAGGTCAGACTTACGACTTCCAAGTGAGCAACACATTCCTAAGAGACGAGCTCTTTTCTCTCTTTTTGGTTTTGTCCCTTAGGCCTGAGCAAATGTCATCCTGTTGGTTCTGTTCTGGTTCCTGCTTGCTCACTAATGCACTGGCAGTGATTACTTCAGTCCGTGAGAACAGGCAAATGCTGGGCCTGTGTGGGGCCCAGGTCTGCAGGTGCCCAGCCCCCTCACAGCTGCTTGTTCTATACATGCACTTCTGGTGTGCCAGAAAAATGACTTGTTTCTTATCAGAAATTATTAGATGTTTATTGATATTCAGTACTACTTTTCATGCAAAAACAAAACCAAAACCAACCTCTTAATGACAAAGGGAGAGAAACTCTCTCTGCTAACTTAAAGCATTATTAGGCATTTTTTCCCTCTCTCCCTCTACATGAGTGAATCATCCAGAGCAAACTACATTTAACCAGGAGACCTGAGAATTTTACCTTCTCAGAAGCCAGAAAAGTTGACATGTCTAATTTAAAATGGGGGGGGGTGGAACCCTACAAAAGAATGGCAATCAAAAGGCATAGGTTTTATTCTCCAGTCCACTGTTATCTATTTGTATGGGTTCAACAATTCATTACAACAACCTCTGTGCCTTAATTTCATTTATCAAATGGATATAATTCTCAGCTTTATTACATGAAATTGTGTGAAATTAAAATTAGACAGCAAAAGCACTCTGGAAAATTAAAAATACCTTAGGAATGTAAACAACCATTTATTACGATAGTACTCTGAATTTAGATAAAGGGTCATCCTCAGAATACTCTAACAACTTACTTATGTGGACCATATAACCTAGGTGTCAAGGCCTAAAACACTTCTGAGTACAGCTACAACCAGACTAAAGTGTAATTGGGGAATACTTAACAAGAGAAATAAAACTTCAATAAAACAGATGTTCACATATAGGTCACCAAGTCAATATGCAGCCTGCAGGGATCCTTATGTATGGTTGAGTGGTCCTCACTTCTGAGTCTGACGCCACCGTTCTAACCTGTCCATGATTAGCACATGGGAAGGATCACTCTAGAAGAAGGAAAACATTTCTTCGTAATTGCTGGTGTTAGATCTGTTTCTCTCACTCCGCCTGACAGATCATTCCCCTGCTTATTACTCTCAGTAATTTAATATATATAAGTCGTTTATTGGCAAGCTACTCAAAAGAATAAATAATACCTAATGATGACTGCCTACAGTTTAATTAACTCATGACTGAACTTTTCACAGTATTGCTATAAACATTAAATTACTGCCCTTCTTCAGAGCTGTCATGGAAGGAGTCATTGTGTTAATTGTTAACCAGGCAGCTGAAATCATTCTTCAAGATTATAGACCTATACTCACACACACAGATACAGAATAAGCCTTAACTCCTGCTTTAAAAAAAATGTGTTATTTTTATATAACTAGCACAAGGTTTTAATCTAAATAAAAATCAGAATAAGCACATGTCCAAACACCTCATTTGTATCACAACAGTCATTAAACGCCTCTGAATCTTTGGAAAATTTGATTAGCATAAACTCTGCATATTACCACCAGGTTTCAAGTTCCTGCTCTGGCTTCTCATCTGAGCTGCCATTTTCTGACTGCGTGATGTTGCAAATAAATTTTCCTTTTGGCATGGCTCAGCTGTCAGGCACCTCTGTTCTATAATGAACCCATGAATTACATCTCCCTGGTCTGACATTTCTGGTCTCGCACATCAAAATATTGTTCTTCAATTGTAATTTACAACTTAATTTAAATGTCCCTTTGACTGTGACCTTTTTAGATCAAAATGGTATTGCATCTGGCAGCTTCGACTCCAGCAAGGCATCCTGTGGCAATTATAGTCATTAGGATGGCTGTAGAAAAGTCTATCTGAGGTAGACTGCACAATATTAAATAACTGGAGTCCATTAAGAACATTTTTGGGTTTCAGAATCTTTCCTCAATTCAAAATTTGTTCCCTACACATGGGAAAGAACTGCCAAAAATCCACCTGAATTTTTGTGGCAAAGAACAAGGGAAGCAGAGCCAGAGAAAGATGCAGTCTCCCCCAAGCTCTCTCTACTTAAGCTGTACTTGTCACTATATTTTATAAGGAAGAAGCCCTCTTCTTTTCCTTAATATGTCGATCCTCAAAAAAC